CCAAACTCAATAACCGCAGTTCTTCTCCCTCTGTTTTCTTTTTCATTGTGTTCAAGTGTAAATCTCTGACGAAGATGCAGACGAGCGTCGGCCCACGTGAGCTGCAGGATTCTTCTTTCAGGTGTGTGTTGCTCCTTCGGTTTTGCCTCTAGGATACTCACATCTGTGCATGTGTGTCTAAACTGAATATAAGTGGACAGCTGGACCTTGGTGGATGTATGAGGCACTGCAGACAGATTGTGTCACAGCAGCACGACTACACCGTCCCATTCTGAGGGCTCCTTGAAACACAGATGACAAATGCATCCTTTCTTTCCTGAGCTACCAAAGCTCCAACAAATGAATGCTTTCGGTTCGACCTTCACATCCTTCGGGATGAGGGAACCGAGTCCTCCGAAGGGGACGGCCCCCACAGCCATTCTAGTTAGTGCTGCGTCTTTATGCACTCCACTGGATTTATTTACTGTAAAGACCAAATGCAGCTTATCTAAAAAGAAAAACATTCTATATCTCTGACTGTCATCAAACTAAATAGTGTCTCCGTATCCAAACAACTTTGTGCTTTTGATTTCTTGCATGAATATGAAGACAAATCTCCATTTTGCTGATTTAGCTGCACAGTGACTGTGAAAATGAGAAAGTGCTTAGAACGCCTGCACTGTGAATCAATAGTCATGCTCTGAAAATGAGGATGCACATGGGGTTAATTAAAAAGAAGTCTATTAATCAATTCATCTCAGCAACAACCGCTGTTGGTAATTTGTCCTAAATGCATTCAGAGCGCTCACGTAAAAACGCTGCAATTAAGAGGACAGCGGCCGTGAATGAGTGGCTCTGGATCGGAGAGCGGCTGGGCTGTTGCCAGGTTGAGAAACCGTGGCTGTCACTACAGTCTCAGCGCGTCTTAAAGAAAGCACAACAGGTGAGAAGGTGGAGAGGCAGTAGACGGAAGGAAGGGGCTGGCAGACAGTGGTAATTGGCTCTCTGCACACGGGCGTGCGAGGAGTAGGGGGGCTGGTATGGCGACCAGATGGGAAGTCGGAGTCGGAGCGCTCTTTGGGGCAAACTGAGACATTTGGAGTTCATCCGAAGATGTGGGAGAAAGAGACGAACGGGATCTGAAAACCATTCCACACACGCTTCAGCTCTCAGAGTATTACGGTGGTTATTATCTCCACTGCTGCACAGCATGGGGTAATTAGCACTGCAGTGTGTGAGCGTGTAGTGAGGCATGTTGTATGTATGCACACAGCCCGTGTGGCTGTCGATACGTGCGTGTGTTATAGGTTATTCAGGCGTGCAGAGCTGCAGGGGCATTAATAGGGTAAAGCTGAACAAGTCGGTATCAGAGGCATTTCCTTAACACAGATTACTATACATCCCTGCTACTATAAAGAGCACGCAGCTGTACGCACGCTGACTCTGCAGCCAAATACAACTGCATGCTTTCTGTGGACTCCCACTGTGTGCCGAGGGATGAAGCTGCAGTGAAGCTGTTGTTAAATGTATTGTGTGCAGCGGGAAACGCTGAATATATTCACAAACTAATGCCCTCTGCATGTGGTGGAGGTGGTGATAGGCATAACACATGAATCTGAGACAATGTGAGTGTTCAGAAGGGACAATAAAATGTGAACCTAATTGTGAGCTTAAAAGAGAGAATACTGTATTTTCATTTTTTGTCCCAGGCGGAGGAGCGAAGGGAATCAGGAGGAACAGCACTGATCCATATGCATGGTTGGATCCGGCTTAATTGCGGCATCGTGGGGCACTGGGAACCGAGGATTTGGACCAAAGGCTAACGTGGTGAGGCTCCACCCTGAGTCTGTGCTTAAATGGGAGATGTGTGGAGCTTCAGCCAGACGAGGCGCCGACGGGCCCGAGAGCCGGAGTCACAGCGGTGAACCGGAGGTAAAGTCTGCCACCGGGGATCAAGACGATTCAGGAAAATAAGACGAATCTGGAGATTTGGATTCTACATCGTGGAAATAAATAATGCAGTGTACTTTGAAAAGATCATTTGAAGATGGCAGAGTTTCTACGGGGTGTTTTCAGTCACATCGAGAGAAAAAAAAAATCCTGAGCTGCATCTACGCCTCATTCCAGGAAGTTTATGAAGCGCACTGATGATTTTCAACTTGTGGAGAAAAATAACGCCTCAGAATAAACTAGAATGATCTCATACCTCCGCCCGGCCCATCACTCCTTTAAATTCTGCAGCAAATCTGTCAGAACTACTAAAGAGACACAAACTAAATGTGATCCTTCAGCTGTTTTTGGTTCTATACAGCGGCTAAAAAAGACCTGCCTCCCTGTGAAACCATATTTAAATCTATTCTCAGTGTCTCATCCTTTGCTTTGTTGAAATATGTTCAGTAGTTTTCTCGTAATCCTGCGGACAAACAAACCAACAAACACGCTGGGACGAAAACATCTTCTGCTGGAGGTAATAAGCTCTGACATTCCCCGTGTACTGTCTTTGTGCATGATCCTGAAGGGAAGGTCATGAGACGTCTGCTGCTGCAGAAAGAGCAACACAAGTTCCCCATCACGAGTCATTTTGGGATAAAGGTCCACTTAGGCCTCCCTCTCCTCTGGTCCAAATGGAAGATGTCCTCCTGCTTTACCAGCTCAGGGTGTCAGCATGCCCTTAAAACTCTCAGGAGTCTTTTATCACCATGTTCAGACTCTATAAAACACAGCTTATTACACTAAATCTGTCACCGGCTTTAATGTGGATGCCTGTTTGATCCCCCGCCATCAATCACATGCTCCTGCAAAGTCACGAGAGGCCAGGATGAATCTCTGCTGTCCGTCTTCTCCACGCTCAACGTTTTACTGCACCTGTTGAAGATGCTGTCTGTTCTCACTAAAATCTGCCAGAGGACGGCAAAGACACATGGCTCCGGTTTTTCCCCGCAATTAATTGGGTCCCACCGAGTGCGAGACATGTGACCGAGAATCGCCAGCAGTTGGAAAACGCAGGATGGATGCAGGACGGATTGTAATACCCGCAGGAGAGCAGTGCAAAGCGAGCGGATCGATGCCAGAGAAGAAGCCTCGGGCAAAATACAACAAAGGGGGATCGAGCAGAGGCGTCCCGGTTTCTTGGCAGTTTAGGGCTCAGACCACGTGGTCGGTCCGTGGTGGGTTTGATTCCCTGTTTCATGCTCTGGCATCCTTCCTCCGCACTGCAGCGCCATGAAACCAACCTTAAAGGTGCAACATGTACAGTAGCACGTTGTTAAATTGTTAATTCACAGGAGGACTGGCAGCTTCTGTGTGCGTTTTTGCTTTTGTTCTTTGGCTGTGCTGAGGAGGACATACGTGTTGGACATGATTTTTTTATCCCGTTGGCCGCGGAGAGACGCTGTCAGAGATTTCCGCTCCACTTGTGCTGGAAGAACAGCGACATTTTTTTCTGTTTTGGTGCCACAAAGAAATCCAGCAAATTTTATCCAACTCTGGTATCGGAGCTGGCGTCGCACGATCTCCAACACTGTGTTGTGTTTTTAGTTTTTAAATCATGAAGTCTGCTCTGTCCTCTCGTGTCGATGCTCGGGAGCTACTTCAGAATTATTACGTCTCCTCAAACACTCAACATCCCCGGACGTCTGTGTGACTCCAGACAGATGTCATTGGCTGTGAGCGGCCAGTTACTGATCACTGCCGTATCTGAGGACTTTGAGGAAGACACGTTCAACCCCCTGACTGCAGGGCGCGGGCCGCCTGTTCGTGTCCGAATGACACCAGATTCAACACTGCACTTCCTTTAGCCTTCAAATAAACACAGGCTCAGTGTGAAGCCGATGAGATGGTCGGTTTACGACGTTAGTGGGAGCAGTAGGTAGGTTTCCCTTCCTGCCTTCTGTTTTCTACATTCTCCACGTTTGCTGTTGAATGTTGAAGCCTCCTGTGCATTCAGAGCTGACACAGCCTTCATGTGTTCCTGGAACTCACCGGTTTCATTCCCGACCCGCGCGTTCAGCCTCTCTCTGTTTACCATCGTCCTCTTTGTCACACAGAGTGTCATCAAACAGAGCAGGAAACTCTGTGAGCGACCCTCGCACCGCCTCTCCTCAGATTGCATGTGACAGTTGTCCTTCTCTCCGTGACAGCTCGAGTTTCTCTCCCGGAGCGATGGTAATGCTGCAGATAAAGAAAGAGGCAGCGCACGAGCCCCGGCGCGCTGGAGGAGGCGAACCTTTTAGCAGGCTGACCGCCACCGCAGCTCAATCTGGGAGCAATTCGTGATGATTTATAGCGATAACGAGGAAATTGGCTATTTGGAGAAAATTTGAAGGGGATTCATTCAGCAGGAAGACAATAAAGAGGCCACTTTTAAAATAAATAGACGATGGTGTTTGCTTTGATTATTCTGAGTGGAGCTGGAAGGTCACTGCACCGCTAAGACGACGACGAACCGACGCTGAGGTCACGACGCCGACATTAAATTAGACAAAAGCTTCTCTTTTTGCGAAATGCAGTCCACTTTTGATAAGTCCTCTCACATGATGAGAAAAAAAACCCAGCTCATCCATAAAACATAACAAACATCTCCACTTCCAAAAAGTTCCTCCATGAAAGGAGCCTATTTTTGAGAGTGTAAACAAAAATGTAATTAATGTGAAAATAGGACTTTTCTCGCAGACATTTGATCCTTCCATATAGCAACAGAGGAGATTAATTTGCCAGGGTGGCAGATACGTAGCTTCAAAAGTTGAGTTCCAATTTTGTGACTTAATTAAAAAGGCCCTATTAAATCTGGGTGTAAAAACAAGTCAAACACAAGCGTTTCTAGTGCAGGGGAATATTTTACAGGCTGCTGAGAAATGGATCCACACAACCAGACTTTTATTCTCATTTTTTGCTCCATTTAACTCCGGAGAGTGGAAGTGGAAAAAAAAAAAAAAGACGAAGAGGGGAAAAGTGCAGGAGTTTCACGCTGATGTGCTGATCCTGCAGCGTGTCTTTAAATAATCCAGTGTCATCAATCGTACCTGTGAGGTTGCGGAGGCCCAGCTGCCTCAGGCCGTAGTACCCGTCCCGCCTGTAGTTGAGGAAGATGGCGAGGGAGTAGCGGCCCTCGTAGAGTTTGGTGCCCCGAATGATGCGCAGGTTCTCCAGCGGCAGGTAGTCGAACTGGTTCAGAGCCACCAGCACGTAGCCCGTCACCTCTCTGATTGACTGCAGGGGAAACCAAAGACAGGAGGAAATTAAACATCGTTCAATTTAAATAACATGATTTAAAACAACAAAGACCATTTCCAAGGAGCTGCGTTGTTTTAATGTCTCATAAAATCGAAGTGACGGTTGGATTTAAAGATCTGGGTGGAGCCAAACAAACGTCTGGGGGGGAATTGATTGGAAGTAAAAGATAGAGAAGTATTATGAGTTTTTCTACATTATGGAAACGACAATGTATTTCCACATGTCAGCCACCAGCTATGGACAATGGCGTCATCCACCGCCCGACCCTGGCGTGGAGTGTGTTATTTGCATTTTGAAATGTCAGCCTCCTGAAAAAATGTGTCCAAGCAGAGCAAAAAGATTAAAACGTCACCTCGGCTACAGACTAATTACACGTCTCCTCTGATTAAAGTCTCCCAGCAGTTGTTGAGAGATTCAGAAGCAACGATACAAGAACACACGACAATCTTAGAAACAAACAAAACAATCACAGATTTCTTTTGCACATTATTTGTATTTTCATCTTTAATTTATATGATTCCATTTGTGCATCTTGTGGTGAAGTGACCTGTCGACGAGGGACTTTTTGAATATTTAAATTTGAATCGTCCTCCGTCCGCTCAGCAGAAATTAGGTTAAAGTTCAACCACACTGTGTTTCCACATCGACAGCCCTGCAGAGCAAAGCCTCCTCCATGTGAGTGTGCGTCTTCTAAAACATATCGCCCTGTTGTTGCTCCTCCATCTCTGTGGCCATGCAATATTCATCTGAGTCCCTCAAACAGCAGCATGAGCTCGATGATACACACACACAGACACACACA